TTCACTACAAATATGTGTTACCTCGGCTAGCTTTAATTATTCTTATGTAATTGGTTTTAATTTATTGACTGGTTATTAATTTTATTAATTTTATGCTATCACTCACTGGTGTCTTATCTTAGTATTTAGTTACTAACAGTATTAGCAACATTCGTAATATTTCATAAATGTATGTATATATTTCAGTCTTCTTTAGATCTATGTTCACAGATTTATTTGTCGTATTTGTATTTTGTTTTAATTATTTTGTACCTTATATACTCGTGCTAACTTTGTAATTGGCCGCTGGGCTGTTAAGTTATTGCACGTAAATAAACATGAATTGAATTGAATTGAATTGAATTGAATTATTATTATTAATATTATTATTATTATGCTTGGTAACTGAAGTGGATTTTCAGCTTCTCAAAATGGCTGTTAAGATTTAGTGGCTGTTAAGCTCTTTCATGGATTAACAGGCCTTAAATTTTCTTCAATTTACCTTTTATTTTGAAATTGGTTGTATAACGACGCTGCCAACGTCGCTACCATATAGCGTCTATAATTCGTCTTTATGCCTGTCTCTTCGGCGCTTTCCTTGCGCCTTCTGTGTAACTCAGCTCTTATCTGAACGATTCCACACTCGGAACATTACGACATTGCAGTTTGTTATGTTTGATAGGTACAAGGTATGAATTCCAGCCGACAGACTTTATAATGATTAAAAATGTTATTTCCTAGAATGTGATGATTTTAAGTTCAAAAGATCAATATATTGTAACGTGTTTGGAGTACATTATGTGTACTTATAAGTTCGTGCAAACGTTTTGGGTGAAACAGTTTCTTGTACCTTCAGGGTAGCTCTAAGGCAGCACATTCCTACTGCGGATATTTGTGTAGCGGTAAAACTTCACGTATTGCGAGAATCTTCATAACTTATAATCAACTCATGGGTAATGAGATGGTCATGGCATGCAGCACGAATGGGGATGAGAGAACTGCATATAGGATATTTATGGGAAATCCAGACGGAAGGAGACCACTAGGAAGATCAAGAAGTAGGTGGGTATATGATATTTAAATGGATATCATAGAGATAGGATGGGATGGTACGGATTGGATTGATCTGGCTCATGATAGGGACCAGTGGAGTGCTATTGTGAACGCGATAGAATGCTGGAAAGTTCTTGAGTAGCTGGACAATTGGCAGCTTCTCAAGAAGGGCTAAGCTCCATGGAGTTAGTTAGCAGTAATGTTCTAGACTTGTCTTCGGGAAGACCTTGTTTCGAATCTCGGAAGGGACACTGACTATTTGGCTAATTTTTTGTTGTTTTTTCTTTCTCTCCAGATAATTAAATAAATGTACTTTGATTAGGCCACCGTCGTTTCCTTTCAAATCCTACCCGGCTTATATTTTGTGACACGACGTCTGAAGTGTGGAAATTTCGACAGGGATGTAGATGTTTGTAGTACGACCTTTAAGGGCTCAATAAATCGAGTCACTAATTCAAACCCCTTCTATAGTCACACATATATAAGTGAGAATATCATCTTTTCTTTGACTCTACATTGTCTGAGATCCTCGTAAAATATTCTTCCCACTAAAAGCACTTTATTCCAGATGCTTTGACTTCTGCCCTTGTAGAAATATTATGACGTAGGCAACTATTGTGCTCTCATAATTTCGCTATTGTATTAGAGGCGATGGAAGTTTGGGTCAATTTGTAATTACAACTTTCGTAATAACACGAAGTCTGGCGAAGTTTAAATTACTCTAATTTTCGTTACATAAAAGGTATCTCAGCAGAAAGGAAATATGTTTTATACTTTGTTGAGAGCATCTGACAGCAAAAGGCTGAAGTAATTATCTCTGGTTTTACACTGTTGCCAGGCGCGTCCGTCAGTTGCTGAGCCTTCCTGTGGTCGCTTTTCTATTTTTGACTATTTAATGTCAAGTTTTCTGTAATTAATATTAGTCGCTGGTGACAACAATATGAATGTCATGTTCAGTAATGTTCATATAATGTTGCTGAGCAGTTTCCTTGAATTACTCAGGCCTACCGTGATGGAAAATAAAAAATAAACACCAATTTGTTTTTAGCCCAATACAGTTCCCATTACATTTGATTTACTTCTATATAAACGGTGTAGCTTAACGTCCGCTACGCGCCAGTTGCAATGTGTTCACTACAACGCCGATAGAGGTGCCACTTGACGTCTTGAAAATTTATTTATTCATTTAACTGCAGGAAATCTGTAATTGTCTGGGTGTGGCTTTATTGGATTAAAACATGTAGGTAGTTTCAGTATCAGACAGATGTCATTGGTTGCCGACCTCTACGTATCACTCGGTAACGTATGAAGGAAGGGTTTTGCGGGAGAAATGAAAGGAAATGAAAATGTACGATATTGTTTTGCTTCTCACCAAGCGATGTGTACATCAATGCATTGTACACAATAGCACAGGATAACAAGTACAGCACAAGCCGATGATTTGGATGAAAATATTGCCTCCATCTTCAGGGTCGAAAATTGAGACGATAATTACCACTATCGTGAACCTAGAATTAGGAAGGTATTCATGCTAAAAATGTCAGATTTTATATTTTTGTGATCAGCTTACACAACATACAAAATTTGTTCTATTTCATTTAGATTCAATTGTCAATATACCCGCGCCGTATCGTATCCATGCGTTTTTGCATCTGTGGACGTATGTGCGGTTTAATATGAATTAGTGAGTGTTTCCCGATGTTGCAGTAGCACTGTGTCATTCGGTGAAGGGCGTTTGACTTTTTAGTGGTAAGCCAGTCACTACACTCAAACCATTCGCAAAATCGTTGCTAGGGACGTCACAAGAATGTCTCGTACTACCAAATACAGGCCGTGTTTCCGCACCAGGTCCCTCGGTTGCGCATTACGAGTACGGTGAGATGCAGGGGTGTAGTGGTTGCAGCTGCATTGTGGAAGGGAGGCTGACGTAGGGCAACTAAGGCCCTGTTCTAACCCGTGCAGGGGTGTAGTGGTTGCAGCTGCATTGTGGAAGGGAGGCTGACGTAGTGCAACTAAGGCCCTGTTCTAACCCATGCAGGGGTGTAGTGGTTGCAGCTGCATTGTGGAAGGGAGGCTGACGTAGTGCAACTAAGGCCCTGTTCTAACCCATGCAGGGGTGTAGTGGTTGCAGCTGCATTGTGGCAGGGAGGCTGACGTAGTGCAACTAAGGCCCTATTCTAACCCCTGCAGGGGTGTAGTGGTTGCAGCTGCATTGTGGAAGGGAGGCTGACGTAGTGCAACTAAGGCCCTGTTCTAACCCATGCAAGGGTGTAGTGGTTGCAGCTGCATTGTGGAAGGGAGGCTGACGTAGTGCAACTAAGGCCCTGTTCTAACCCATGTGGGGGTGTAGTGATTGAAGCTGCAATGTGGAAGGGAGGCTGACGTAGTGCAACTAAGGCCCTGTTCTAACCCATGTGGGGGTGTAGTGATTGAAGCTGCAATGTGGAAGGGAGGCTGACGTAGTGCAACTAAGGCCCTGTTCTAACCCATGCACATTCTACAATCTTTACCACATCAACTGAGCATTCTGCAGAGAACGACCTAGAATTAAAACGTAGGCTGTATATCTAAACATATTACCATGATATATGAAGGTACTGACTTATGGAAAAGCATATCATGTCTATGGTGTAGCATTGATTTTGTTCCTCTCCTTCACTGTGACTTAATTATAAATTAATAATTAATTTTAGGTGAAAATGACAAACTTGGAAACTTGAACAACATGTATAATTTTAAGTGTACTAAATTGACAATAATGAAGATCATATTTTGTAATATAAATTTAAGGGTATATTGTAGCGTGTACCGTCATTGCTGGGCAACGACGGTTAGATGGACATATATCAGGGTCGTTTCTGGGAGACGGCTCGATTAACAATTTACCGTTGCCGGGTATCGGATTCGTAATACTGCAGCCAGTTGGACTACAAAAATATATAAACGGGGTGTTTTTTTAATTATTTAATTCGCTTAGTGGGGGATGGAGTCCAACTGGGTCCACTCGGCACGGCGGCCACTGATTAGCCTATTATAGCCTGCCCAGGTGATTATGTTGATGGAGTATTTGGTGGAATGAAGATTAGCAGTGGAAACCGAATTACTCGGAGAAAACCCGCCCCAGGGACACTTTGTCCACCACAAATCCCACTTTACCAGACCCCGGAATTGAATCCGGGCCGCCGCGGTGGGAAGCCAGCGACTAAAGGATTGAGCTATGGCGCGGCACTAAACAGAGTGTTACTGCGTGGTCCATGCTGAGATGTTATAAGCAAGGGACAAGGTTACAGCTGTCAGTTGATAGTCCAGTTCTGAAATGGTCGTCAGCCGGGAATGGCGTGAACACGTGAAGCTAAAGAATTTTCACTGTTAGATGCAGTTGCCAGGGAACGGTTGGTGAAGACACAACAGGTTAAGAAGGCTTAGCGGGTGCTGTGGTGATTTTTGAATTGTGGAGTGGCGCTGTGATTGCTTGTAATTCCGAGTTGTGTGAGTAAGTGGTCAATAAATCCATTCACCAAACCAATTTCCGTCTATAATCACACACGTACTACGTGACAATATTCATGGAATCATTTTGTGCCTTCTGGTGATACTGACCCGCCACTTTCAGGAAGGACAAACACAAAGTGATGAATGAGAATACAATTTATCTAAGGGACATGTAACAGATGCATAAAATAGCTTTTGTGCTTAAACCTTAAATTGAATTTTCTTAATTATAAACCCATTGCAGGAAGATAATTGAGATGGGCTGAGATACGAAATACAAAGACACTCTTGGAAAGTTACAAAGGACTTGAGAATTTCTTTTGTGGGCTCAGGATAAGGAACAGTAGCGGATTTTTATGATTTCTGTAATTTTAATATCACATCCATTTATTCTTGGTACCCCTTATCATCCCATTTATTGCTGAACAGTGTAGTTGATGCAGTGTGATTAAACTTCTTTCCCTATCCTGTTGCAGTGTCTACAAGAAATGTGTCCATTTTGTGTCCCGAGCTTACCAACGTGACGTGTGCTTACAGATGAGGTAAGATTGTCGTACTGCAACTTGGGTAACCATTTAGAGCACTGGACGTTTCGAGAAACACCCAGCACTTCAGCATACAGACTTAGAGAAATGTGAGACTATACACTTCGGGCGTATTTTTCTAACTTTTTGTCTTTTCTGCTTACAGTCTGTGAGGTGCGGTGTAGAGTTGTCCTTGTGCTTTTTCTTTTAAATTCGCTTAGTGGGGGGTGGAGTCCAACTGGGTCCACTCGGCACAGCGGCCACTGATTGGCCTGTTATACCTGTTCCGGGTGATTATGATGATGGAGAATTCAGTGGAATGAAGATTGGCAGGGGAAACCGAAGTATTCGGAGAAAATCCGCCCCAGCGCAACTTTGTCCACCACGAATCCCACTTGACCAGACCAGGGATCGAACCCGGGCCGCCGCCGTGGAAAGGTCGACTAACCGCTTGAGCTATGACGCGGCCTGTGTCCTCGTGCTTAATTACATAGTTAAGCATTATGCTACGAAGACTTAAGGGGGATTGGAGGCATAGCTCCACCATTTTTTACCTCGGAACTAGATGCTTACGGGCTGTAATTAAGGAATTTTTAATAAATTTATATTTCTGTGTGGAACAAAAAATGACGATAATAATGAGTCCGTAACCATGGGAACGACAATTGTTTACAATGTATATTTTTACTTTAGATAACTTATAAATTATGTATATGTGACATTCTAAATAATTGCTGGAATACAATTAAAAGTTTTATTTTGATGGACGCAGAAATTCTATGTCGCATCGTATTTTATGAACGTTTATGTATATTATATAATATGCATACAATATATACACAAGTATGAGAATTTATATGTCGCAGTATCCTGAATTATATTTAAAGACACTATCATCATTACTTTCCTATTTGTACTACCCTCCAGTAGTATAAAACAAATTCCGTGGCCTGTAGTCTGCAAGCGAACTTTACCGACCGAGAGACCGCCGCTTGTCGGCGAAGTTATGCCAACTTTAGTTGATAGAAGATGCCGCGTGTTCAGCGCAACGGGTTCCCACGGCTTTTAATCCCAGTTTTCTAGACCGGAGCCATAGCATAATTTGAATTTAAAAAATTTAGGGATTTTGTTTATGAAGTAACAGACGCCTTGCAGAAATCTTTTTTCCTCTAGCCTTAAGACCGTTGTAACCGACTCTGGGCATTCTATTTAACTGTTCTCGGACAAAATGTCCATCACTGTTGCCCGCTGGTCCTCGTACCGTTTACAGTCCCGGAAGATGTGTTCCTCTTTTTGCAGCCCCACCACCACACTCGCATTCAGCCGTGGTCACAAAGTTAAATCTGTTTAGGCTTACTTTAAGACTGGAGTGGCCTGCTCTTATATTGTTTATTCACACAAAGGCACGGCGGTTCATTTTTATCTATCGGAACAGAAATGATGAAACGTACCAGGAAAATTGGGTTTGCAAAGAAGTGTAACAGGCTATAGCTCAGTAATCAGAATGCTAGCACGACAGGTAATAACGCTGACATTGAGGAAGAAGCTAAATGAAGTAGGCCATAAACACTATGGCAGGAGGAAAACGCTGAGTCGGAGAAGGCGGTAGACCTGAAAGAGTCAACCCCTTCTCCATAAACAGCCAATAAGTGGGCCACACCGACCCGAATTTACGTCAGAATGGGCGGGCTAACACACCCCGGAACCCAACGAATCAGCAAAAAGAGGGTACATAAACCCTAGAGGAATCAATCAAAAAACCTTTTGACTTTTGACTTTTTAATATTATTAAGTGACATAGAGTTCAGCCAGAGGCTATCGCCGAGAGAGCGATGGCAATGAGTGGGTGTTGGTTGGTGATGGCGAGCGTCTGTTTCTTCAGCTAAAGTAAGTGAACCAACTTCATATAGCCGTGAACAATAAGTGTGATAATATTGAAGTGCAACCCCGAAGAGAGAGAAAGTGCAAGCTAGATGGACTAGGTTCACTAAGAGATACAGAGGCGTAGAATACCCGACAGCAGGGTGGCAGGAGATAGAACAAATGTGGTGCTACAGGGTCATTATTAAATGTAATACGAACCGACAAACGTCGGCAAAGTGTGTATATAGTATTGTGACATGTTGACCCCTACCTCCCCAGCTGCACGTAGCGGTAACGTAACGCTCGCGTGATAGGCGAGTAATCACCCCGCATCCTGGCAGCTATGCGCGGTGACGTCACGAGCGGAGCCGAAGAGAGCCGAGCGGAGCCGAAGATAGCCGAGCCCCCGCAACCGGGTAACTATGCAAGGCGAGTCAACAGCGGTGACGTAACAGGATGACGTGGCACTCATTACGCAACAAGCAAGCACTGCAGCTATATAAGTGAGCTGCACAGTGGCTGCAGTCAGTTATAAAGTAACAGTCGCCGAGTTGAAACATAGCAGCCTGCGAGTGTGCGATACTT